TGGGAGCAGGGGCAGTGACCCCCTCCCCGCCCACCTCCGGGGGTCCTTCTGCCTGGAGGAACCTCTGCGGCTTTGTTCCAAATCTGGTTTTCTTGCCAGCGGTGCTTTTTTAGGCTAAGGGATCATGGCCCATGTTGTACGGCCAAGTCCCCGGACAGATCCGCCCTCGCCGAGTACAGCTCTTCAAGCCTCCATCCACCCCATAACGCTGTCTGGTGGATCTTTGTCTTGAGTTGTTGGGGATGTTTTCCTGAAAAACCATCAATCCTGTTTAAAAGTTTTAATGGCTGGGTTGAAAAACTACCTTGGGGCAGAAACCAACCCCTTCCTTTGTTACGGAGTCACTCTGATTTTTACAGCGCCTTGCTGCAGCGTGTTGAGGTTTTTGGTATCTTTCTCAGACCACTTGGGTCTTTGAAAAGGGAATTAGTTTTAAAAAGGGGGAAGGCTTCTAGTTCCATGAAGTAGAATTACATTGGCTTCATCTTTTTTAACCTTTTAAAGATGTCAGTCTGGACCAAGGGTTTGTTTTCTGCTTTAAGCGCTTAGGGGACCACCAGGCCTCCCTGCAAGCTGTTGGAGGGTCAGGAGAACAACTGGGACCCTGCAGCTGGGCTGGGGTCAGGGCATTAAGGGTGGTGGTGCTTCCTGCAGGAGCCAAAATCCACAGTCGGGGTTCAGCCGCAGTGGTGTGGGCTCTGCAGAGCAGCAGCAGCTGGGTGGAGGGAAGGCGGCCTCCGGGGAGCACCAGGCCTGAGGCTCGGCGTGTGGGGAGATCCCCTGGGGCAGGGATGGGGCTGCCAAACACGGGCTAAAGGCACGGGGCTCCCTCAGCCCCAGGGAGGCTGACGGAGGGGGTGGAAGGGCTCGTTAACAGCTGGCTCTGCTCCCCCACAGCTGGCCAAGGCCCAGGACTGACCCCTGAGCACAGGCTGTGAGGAACGTCAAGGTTGACGGGAGGCTTTCAGGTGATAAATTGAATGAGAGAGCAGCTTCAGAAACACCCTGGAAAAAGAAGCTTCCTCTGAATTTCTAAAGCCAGCCTGGCAGCACTCCCTTTGCCATGACCCTTTACTGTGCAAGCTGCACCTGGAGGCGAGCAGATTTGAACTGGAACAAGGTAGGTTGTTAGACAGAAAGAGATGGCTGCTGTGTCAGGCAGCACTGCCAGGACGGCAGAGTGCCTCTCAGAGGGCCCAGCCTCTTCACCTCCGGAGCTGGAAAAGAACCCGATGACAGCAGGCTGCTCCCGTAAGCACTCCCCTGTCCCCCAAGAAGACAACCACACCATCCACCTTGGTAAGTTTTTAATTGCACTGTGAGCAAACAGCACGTTAACATCAGGTCACAACAGAACTTGAACAAAATGAAGTGGTCTCTCAGCTTTGAGTGGCAACAGAGAACAGAAGGTAGTGCTATAAACCAGCTTCCCTGCCTCCTGCCAGCGACACCTTCACCACTTTAGTGGGTCGCTTCAGTGAAGTGAAGGCACTGGCCAAATACCTAAGGGTAAAAATTAAAACAAAACAAAACGGGGGCGGGGGAGTTTCCCTTAGCCTGCCATCTCCTCTCCTGGGAAGGGGAGACTACAGCCAGTGCCAGCCCAGAAGTGGTTCTCAATGCTGCGTAGTATTTCGGTACAGCAGAGACACTCTGAAGCAACAATTAATTTGCAAAGGCTTTGCTTTCCCTTAAGCACGTCAGCCCGGAGGGGTGGCCCTTACAGGGACACCTTGTCAGAAGCTCGTCTAGCTCGCGATCGCCTGTACCTACAGGAGTCAGCTGAAGCACGGCACAGGTCTGGACCACACCGACACAGAAGCGGGTTCAGGGACGGTGACAGGGTTACAGTTCCAGCGGTCAGGGTGGGAGCAGCTGGGTTCAACTCGCTAATCAAACAAAACTACAGTGACATGCTCCAACCGGCCTGGTCTCCAGGGGCGCAGGGGGTGCTGCACAGTGCTTCTCCAGGTCCCCTCACCCTACTTCCCTGACAGCTGCTCATAAAGCTTCGGCACGTAGTCATCCCACTCTGCCTGGTAGCAAGTGCCAGCCACTGGCACCCCCAGCTCGTACTTGCTGCGGAAAGAAGCCACCTTGAACTTCCCTCGTTTGTCACCAGAGCGATTAGAGAGGATGGGCTCGTTGCAGGGCTCTTCCACCAGCCACACGTAGCGTTGCAGCCCTGTGGGGAGGAGACAGCGTTACAAGTGCCAGTCACCTGCAATTCCCAGGTTTAAGGTTTGCTTTGAAGCGACCCCAGGAAAACAGCTTTCTGATCCCGGAGAACGCAGGCATCCAAGTACGATGGGGCTGAAGGAGCTCAAAGAAGATGTGCTACATACGCTTGAACAGCTCATGACATGCCTGGGCTAATGCCGCCTCCACCGAGCAGCACTGCCTACCAACTGCGGGCACAACAGTGGAGGCCTGCCACCAGACAGCGAGGGGATGGTGGTGGTACATGCTCGTGCTGGCTGTGGCTACATGCAGCTGCAAGCGGTCCTGCGTAAGTTGTTCCCGCAGCACGAGCCAAGCAGGCAGCCGGTTCTCGAAAGGACTCCCCACCCTCCCCTGTGCACAGCATTTGATCCACGCAGCACCGCTGTGGTCGGAGCACAGGAGCTGCTGCAGCGAGGTACCGACCTGTTCCTTTGGGAGGGCCGGAGCCGACGTAATCTGACAGCACAGTCCCACTGCCCACATTGTTGCCTTTCATGTTGGTCACCAGGAAGTGATGCCATTCCCTGAAAGAAGACAAAAACCAATCAGACTGCATCACAGCCCCAGCTAAGACCCTTCATCGCTCCAAGCTGCCACTTTTCCATAAGGCTGTCAGTGTAAGGTACCTGAAGCTAACCGCTGCTGCTCCTGGTTTGCCAAACCCAAAGAGCACCAGTCCTAGAGCAAGTTCTGCCTCCTTCAGGGTGCAGAGCCTGTCAAAACCAGCTCTGTCATCCTGCCTTGTGCCTCCGGAAAACCCAGAGCCTGATCCCTAAGAGTGGATATTCCACACGCATCTGAGCCCGACCTGATAAAGGTGAGCCGGTCCCAGGTTTAAGACTCCACTGCTAGTGCAGGCAGACCCAATTTCAACTCGCACACATACCAAATTAGAGCAAGCAGCAGCTGCTGTGCTTCTCTAAGCTATAACAGACCTCCAAACACCCCCGGCAAAAGCAGCTGCTCCTCCCTGTGCTGTCCTTGTCTCAAGGAGAGATGCAAAGGCACTGTTCCTATCCCAAGCCACAGACTCACTGCTGTACCTTCGGCACTGTGTGTTCCCAACCTTCTTCTAAGCCTCTGCTCAGACTGAGAGGGATGCTCCATTTTCCACAAACAAGACAGGGAGTTGCCCACCCCCCCCCTTACCTGAACTTTGGGTCCTTCCTACTGGGAGCATCTGGGTCTGTGAGAACCAGGGTGTAAAGCTTCTGGGGATCACAGCCATCCCACTCAATGCTGGTGGGGCGATGCTGGACCTGGACAGATGACAGCGTTACCACACGCAGCAAGCCCTGCTGCCCGCACCACGCAGCCTGCGCCAGCCGCACACGGAGGCCACGCGTGACCAGCGCTGGCAACAACACCCGAGGAGCTCA